ACAAATATTTATAAAACTGGTTGTTTATAGTGGGGTATTTTCCCTGCTCGCTGTATGTGTACATTCTATGTAAATTTACGGCTACAACTATAATAATAATAATAATAATAATAATAAAATGGCTATATTTTATCATTCAAATATTGATGAAAATGTAAAGTAAGTAAGTTATATAAAAATAAAATATGAGGCCAGCAAAACAATTTTATGACATTTTAATTTCTTAACGGTTTATATTAGTCCATTAACATCATATATTGAAATAAAAAGAAGATATATGAAAATATCTTTTTTGTGCTTGCTTTTTTTCAAAATGTTTTTCAATAAAAAAAATGCGCAACATTTTTTTTTAACACTTACCTTTACACAAGCAGAAAAACACTAGGGCTGCACTAGGCCGCAAATGTGATCTACTTTAAATTATACTCTCATATATAGATATAAATTTACAACCAAATTTTCTGAGCTCAGCTGAGCGCAGTAAATGCTTGGCTTTTTATTATAAATGATATCCAATTGTAGATTTAGCTTTAAAAAAACTGAAAAAGATAAAGAACAGTTTTGTTCATTTAAACCTTGTTAAAATCTTTTTTAAGTTACACTTTTATTTTTATTGTGAAAATTTAAGGAACATTTTATGAAGGAGGCTGGAAACAAATTTTCAATCAAAATTTCATCTGCCCTTACCCCTCATTGCAATTGTGAGGAAAACAAGTTGATAAAATATTATTTGTACTATTCTCAACTAGAATTATACTCGTCGATGAATTTTAAGTTTCATATTATTATCTCCCAGCGTTTAAAAATTATGACCATATTTTTAACGCCCTTAACTTGAGGGGGGTTTAAAATTTTTTTTTTCTTTAATTTGTTATTTAGGTGCCCCAAGAAAGTTTAACGGTCTTGTCATAGCGCACCGCGAAAGTACATTTAACCAGAAAGGTCACGCCTCTTTCCTTACCGTGACGCGAAATATTTCCAAAGCTCGTTTCGAACCTGGATCTGCTGATTATAAAGCAAGCGCTCTTACTACTGCGCCACAGCTGCGAAGTTATGACCATATAGGTTTGGCAATATAGGTTTTTGTTATGCTATGACCACATAGGTTTTTGAACCATGTTATAACCATATTACGACCATATTGTTGAACCATACTGTTGAAAAGTTTTTGAACCATGTTATCACCATATTATGACCATGTTATGAACCATGTTATGACCATATAGGTTTATGACCATATAGGCTATGACCATATAGGTTTTTAAACGCTGAGAGATAATATTATGAAGCTTAAAATTTATCTATGAATGTAAGTCTAGTTGGAAATAGTACAAAAAATATTTTATCAACTTATTTTTTTTTAAATGTCGTTTTTATCTAAAGAATTGTACTTTAAATGTGTCAAATGTGTTTTGTTTATTAAACAACGCCAATAAAATGGAAAAACAGTAAAATTAATTGTGAATAATAGTTATTTCATACACCCTAATATTTATGTTTTAGACTAAACAATAGAGAGCACACCACAATAAAATTCTACAGGCCTCAAACAAATTAAGATCTTATGATAAAAATGCTTTGCAGCTACAATACTAAGGTGCCCAGAATAAGGAGGAGTCAGGAAAAAGTCCAAGACTTCAATCAACCCAGGGGCTCATGATGTGCTAACCTATGATGTATGTAATCACCTAGATTCTTATAATTATTTATAAAAATATATTAATAAAGTTCAGTTTTATTGAACATTATTTGTTTGTATTCACAATATCAAAAAAATTAAGTACATGAAATAAATAAAAACCACAAAAATGTCTTGACAACCCATGACCACACCTACATGTGCAATCATAACCACTTCTGGAGACCAAATATGCCCAGATTTGATTTTCCTGATATCAATTACCTATATTTAGACATACAACATGTACCATCTAACCGAAAAACCATCGGTGTATTCCAGGACCACTTTTGACCACCCTTAAAATGATCACCTAAGCGGTTATGACCAATCGAAAAAAATCCGGACATTTCAAGACCACCCTTGACGATCACTAAAATGACTACTTGAGCGGTTACATTCACTTTTAAAAACCAAATATACCCAGATTTGAATTCCCTGTAGTTATCAATATTTAGATATACAATATGTCTCATCTAATTTTAAAACCATCAAGACGCGCATGACAATCCCTAAACACCCTTGACAATCCCTAAAATAACTATTTGTGTGGTCACAATCAATCCAAAATTAAAATGGAACCCAAAAAAGAAATCCTTGGCCCAAAAAACCTCTATAAACATCTTTTATATGCCTATATATAACCCATAAATAGTTTTGCCATTTTAGATAATTCTGACCCACTGTGCAATTTGACACTCATAGACACCGAAACGCAGCTCAATTTACTGTCTAGCATTCCAAATTTAGTTACACCGTTAGTAATTTTTTTAACTCCGCCCATCTTTGTGGTATCAGATAAAGAAAGCTTTTCAATGCTTTAAGTAAAAATATACTTGCATATCTAGTATGACGTAAGAACGTTTAAGTGAACTGTTAATTTTGAGCATTGAAAAAACGCTTAAAAAACGTTGATAGAAATGCAATAGTCAGAGATTTTGCCAATAAAAATGCCAGAAAGTGGTGAACTTTAGTGTGCAATAATTATTGACATTTTTGCCTAATTTTTCGTAAATATTATTATTGCAAATTATTGTTGTTAATATTAATTACCTCAAGTATAAAAAAAAAATTATCATTAGTTTTTAATAGTGAAAACCTGAAATTTTGCAGAAATACCGTTCTGATTATACTATGTATCATAATTTTTGACCTTGGATTCAAAGTGTATTTCAAATGCTTACGTCTAAAAACTGTGGTAAAACAATTACATTTTTTGCACAAACTGTTGCACAAACGCAAACTGTTACAACTGTAACAGCAAAAAGAAATTTTTTTATTAAGAAAGTTTCATATTTTTGTTTATTCGATCTGGTAAGAAACAACAATGGCTTATTGACTAGACAAAAACAATAAAAATTACTCAAAAGGCTTTAGAAATAAGTAGATGCATTAAATTTTCAAGTGTACAGTAAATTATGTTCACAAAGTAATCCTCAAATGTAGTTCCTGTCATGTCTTTTTATAATGACCCTGGTTTATTAAAATAAGAGTTTCTCATATGGACTTTGAGTAACATTTTTCACCCCATTTCAGCATAATTCTTTATGAATCTAAACCAACTTCACATAGTTTTTAGCCTTGTGATTACCATGGAAGTTATGAACAACTGCAACGTCTACTTTTCTGTTTAACTCGGCGAACTTGTAGCATTCTATTACTTTCTTGATTTGTGGTTTAGCAAAGATACCAGCTCTGACCTTAATCTCAAATATCTTTGGGAAAAAATCTTGAAACTAATTTAAAAGAGGCAACTCTTAGTAAAAAGCAGTGAAGTTTTGCTTAATATAGCTTATTCTAATGTATCAAGGTGGCATAAGCACTCAGGTTTTATCAGAATTCACATTGCTCTTCACATTTCTCTTGCTCATAAAGAACTCGGTCCGTTGCAGTCATTTTTGTACTAGTGGTCCTTGTAAAGTGTGTAACGGCTGTTCCAGAGGCAAACGAAAAAAGAAAATTTTTTAAAATTGCTTTAAAGTTCCATGAGAAATGACAGCGTTTAGAAAACTTCAATAACCTCCGTAGTCGTCATAATTCAAGACACTCTGCAACATCTTGACACTGGTGTAGTCCTCCATTGTTTAAGCCAAGATGTCAGAAGCTTATGAAAATTTGAAATGATCTTTGTGTTTTAGTTGTTAAAGTGGAGAGTATTTTGTCCTGAAACCGTGTGTATATAATGCATACTTTTCGCAAATGTAACAAAAAAACTTGTCATGTTAGACTCATTGGTCAGAAATAGGTCCCCAGTATTTTTTCATGCAAAAAAACTCTTCACCTATTTGGTATTTTTTGGGTAAACACGATCGACAAACCCAAGACTTGCAACTAAAAGATTTACCTTGGTATTACATGTTGTTTTGAGTTAGCAATGCTTCCTCTCAGTCGCTGGTGTTGTCGTTAAGTTTTGAAGTTGTCGAATTGTTAGAGTTGATGGTGACTGATGTTAGATAATGATATAGGCTGGGGTGAGGGTGATGAAACAAGCACATATAAAGATGATAAGCAGGCTCATTTACATATATATATTTACATATGCAAGGTTAATACTTAATTCATAATACCCAACTTTTAAGTATGTAAATTAAATTATTATGTAAAGAAATAATAATTATATGTAAATATGTAGTATTTAATATTTAAATAATAAGAAAAATTTATTAAAGTAAAAAATATGCAAAAAATAAACATGTAATATGTAATTGTGCAAATATATAAGTATGAAAATGTATAAATATAGAGTTTTATAGAATAGTATAGTAATATGCATTTGGTTTTGGAAAATTTTTTTAGATTAATCTAAAAATTGTACGAAATTAACTTTAAAAGTCACAACGAGAAAAGTGTTAGAAGAAATAATGCTATTGGCAGTGATACAAGTAACAAAGTATAAAAGTTCAATTAAAAGAAGTTACTCTAAGAATGAATTGCGTACAATATACTGCGTATATTGTACGCAATTCTCTAGCAATTCTCTAGCAATAACTCTATTAACGTATCTTGCATTCAAAAGAATGTCTAATTCTAACAATGACAACATACATCTTGATCGTTATAAAATTTTCTGCAAAAGCCTTTTAACAATTTTTAAAAATAAAGCAAAAATTATTTACAATACGGTACCTCGTATTTTTAAAGATTGTTTGTTTTAACTTTAATAGATGCAAAAGAAACAAAATTGCTTAACCGTTCCCTTTTTTTTTTCCTTTACTCTTACCCCAGTTTACTCTATATTTTCTACATTTAATTTAATAGTACTTTAGATTTTATATAACATATTTATACAATATTTACAGAAATATAGTTTATAAAGGCTTACCGGTTTTCTGCAAAACTCTGTCAAAGTGACACATATCGTTAGCGAAAAAATATTTTCTAATAAAACTGAAGTTTAAGACAGCCCTTATTGAATTGTCAATTGTACCACAAGTATCTTTAATATCGTAACCTAAAAAAATTCCAGGTAGAATACTCGAATCGTTGTTGATGGAATTTACTGCAAATATCATTGCTTCTACCATTTGGTAGTTATGTGATAGAAATGTGCTACGACTATGTATACAAAAGTCGTTGTTATTATTACTCGGGTAAATTGAAAAAAGTCCTCCTAATAACACGTCGCCGCTTTGATAAAGATTTGAGATTTTATTGTATCCATTAATTGATGTTGCGTTTTTTATCAATTCAGAGAATATCAAACATAAGTTCACACAGAATAAATTCACAAATTTTTGGAGTATTTTCATAACTTTTTACTTGTATAAAATTTTTGGAGTGTTTTCATCTTTTTTTTTTTGTATAAAATGAAGAAGAGTTTTCGTGTGATTTAATAAAAAAAAGTATCTTCAAATAAACAAAAAGTCAAGTTAGTAAAAGTTGAACAAACACAGTTTTCTTGTTTGTTCTTGTTTTTAAAGATTTATATGTTTTGTTATTTGCCAAAATCACAATATAAGTTGTTACATTTTTCAACAGAACAGTTGTTTGATGATGTTTGGTTTAATGTTTAACAATTTGTTACGCCTATTTTTCCTGTTCTTGTTTGTCTCAAGTGTATATATATTTTTCTTTATATTTGATATCTACCATTCAATTGTTTGTTTTTTTACATCACTTTTTTTTACTGCAGCTTAATTTTGCGTTTATATTTATGTTTTGCATTTATACTAATAACAAATAAAAATCAAAAAAGCAAAGAACCATTTTTTAAATACTGCTGTCGGTAAGTGCAGAATTTAATGTTTATGGTGTGAGGACTTTTGTAGTATATGTGTGTTATGGTGTCAAGATTATTGTAATATATATATTGCGTAAGAATTATTATATGTGTATTATGGTGTGAGCATTATTTTAGTGTTACAAAGTATTATTTACTGTGCTTTTGAAAAAATGTTCTTTACTTTAATCATACCAATGAGACATGTTGACCTAGCGCAAAAGAGGATCGTTAACCATGTGGGCCTTGCACACTTTTATGATTTATTTTTAACTAGCTGTAATACGGGTTATTAATAATTAAATAATTAATTACAATATAACTTAATATATTATATAAAATAATATAATTGAATACAAATTTATCTATACATTTTATTTTAAGTTCGGCTCCTTACCAGTTTTATCATTGCTTATAGTTAACGACATAAAAATACTACATTAACATCAGTTAAGTTCTTATTAAAATCTGTTACAACAAGTACTAGAAAAGTAAAGTAAAGTAAAAACTGTCATACGTAAAAAAAGAAATTAAAAAAAAATTATAATTTTCAATTACAAAAGTATCATTTGCATTTTGTTGTTAATAGAATTAGAATAATAATGTAATAGAAAACTAAAAGAATTAAAAAAGTAGCCATAACAGCTTCGCACTATCAACACAAAACACAGTAACAATAGCGCATAGCTTGGCGCTGCCATATAACACCACAACTTAATAAGATATTTTATTAACTAAAATATTTGAACTAAAGGGATTTTATTTATTATAATATTTGAACAATCAAGGGACAATTATAGTTAAAAAATTCAAACAGTTATTTCATAAAATAGCAAGCAACTCGTAAAATATTTTTTATACATGGTCATAATCAATTTGGTATTAAAAATACGTAAGAGCTCAGTAATTACTTGAGTTTCATTAATGCTTTATTTATTAATTCTCATTTAAGAGAGAAAGATAGAGAGAGGGGGAGAAAGATAATGTTTCCAAGGCAGCATTTTAAAAAAGTAAAAAAGACACGCAATAAATATTTACGAGCATAAGAAAAGTTGCTGTTAATGATAAGGACAAAAACAACATCATACCACAAAATGGCTATAACCCAAATACCATAAAAACTGGTTTTATTATGTTACCAGTAAATGAAATTATTTTTAGCCTAATTACGGTAAGTTTCAGCTTCTTCCTAACTGTTACTAACTAATGATTAATTAAGTAAATTTCACATCATGTAAATTTATTAAAACCATGTTGTAACACTAAACAAACTAATCAAGTGATGACAAAGGCAGCTAAAAAAAAAGAACATAATTATATGTTCGAATTTATAAAAAAGTTCAAAATCATTCAAATTTAAGACTCATTAATTGTTATTATAAATAATAAAATTCATATTTAGTTTGATTCTAAAGTCTCTAAAGCAAAATCAAATTAACAGACATCAACACCGCTTGACACTAAATTTTGGCAAGTAAGTTTTCTGCTTGTCAACGAGAATTTCTTACATTTCAAAGACGTTTAATTTCATCTTGCCTAGCTCTGTCTCTTTTATTTGAACTACAATTATTTTCAAATCATTTATTAGCATTATATTTTTGTTTCAGATTTATCATATTATTACATCATATGATAAACCTGCAATAAAAATAAATAGAAATAAAAAATAATAAGGATAAATAAATAATATAAATAATAATAATAAGGGCTTAAAATAATAGTAATAACAATATAAATAAGGACTAATAAATAAGGACTAATAGTAATAATAATAATAATATAAATTATAATAATAATAATAATATAAATAATAAGATAAATAATAAGTAATGATAAAGATTTGAAATTAAAAATAGTAGTAGTAGTAGTAGTAGTAGTAGTAGTAGTAGTAGTAGTAGTAGTAGTAGTAGTAGTAGTAGTAGTAGTAGTAGTAGTAGTAGTAGTAGTAGTAGTAGTAGTAGTAGTAGTAGTAGTAGTAGTAGTAGTAGTAGTAGTACATACCTTAAAATAATATTGCATAACTTAAGTAACATAACTCAAGTAACACAACCCAGACAGCACAAACACGTGTTTTGAGAATTTAAAATGTTAACACCTTTAGACGTCTAAATTCAGATAACTATAAGACATCTAATTGTATTTATCTTTGAGACGACGAATAATAGCTGCCTCAATGCATTTAAAAAATGACTAGATGTCTTATATTTATCTGAATTTAGACATCTAAAAGTGTTAACATTTTAGATGCGAAAAAAAAACGTCTAAAAGACGTTTTTGTGCTGAATGGGAACATTCGTGTTTAACAGAACATAAGTAACAGCATTACACAAAATTATTAAAAGCCAATGTCGTGCGTTTTCAGGATAATTAAAAAGAAAGGCTAAACAACACCTAGACCTAAAGCAATAACAACGCTTGACACTAAGCTCTGTTAAGCCACTTCTCTGCTATAATTAAGGGGTAAACAGATTCTATCTGTTGACCAGCCTCGCACCCCTTCCTCATCTATTAGGCTGGCGCAGATGTATTTTTAATACATTGTTTCCAGTTTAGGATGTTGAACGCTGGATCTTCTTGACTCAATGCGTGGGTATTGCTTGTGTCTCTATTTTTATGACTGGGCAACTCATTCTATTATCTCCTAATGAGGGTACAGCTCTAAAACTCAGTTTTATGGTTCTGAGGCCGGCTGGTAGTCAGGTTTCCCGAACTCTGTGGTAGCTCTCAGAGAGGCTGATTCCATCAACAGCCGAAAAATATCAGAGTACTAACAGTGCCATGTTGCGCATGGATGGTGTCCCTGTTTGTACTTTTGGTGTGCATTGCAGAGGCCACATTTGGAGCCCTTTGTTACGGCTTAGGGTTTATTAATAGTAATGAGGCTATTGCTTAGTTGTTAAATAGTGTACTGAGTACTATCTATACTTGAGTCAAGTTCTTTATAAATTTAAAATGACTAAAGTACCTAAAACTAAAAAACACAAAAAACCATCGTCATCACCAAGTTCTCTAAACCTATCATTTACTAATATTCGTGGTCTTCGAAGTAACTTTTCTTCTGTTGAGTCTTATCTCTTGCAAAGTTCACCAGACCTACTTGCTCTTTGTGAGACTAATTTGAGTTCGGCTGTCCCATCTTGTGATCTTAGTGTTGATGGTTATCTTCCTTTAATTCGTAAAGACTCCAATAATCACATGCTTGGCCTGGGCATCTACATTCGTAAAAACTCACCCATTTGTCGTGAAACTAGGTTTGAATCTACAGACTATTCATTTATGTGCTTTCGTTTAGCACAACTTCACTCTATCGCCTTTCTCTTTGTTCTATATCGCTCTCCTTAATCCCAAGATTGCACTATTCTTGATGTTATTTCTGATCAAATTGACCAAGCCCTCTCTCTCTATCCATCAGCCAATATCGTCGTTGTTGGTGACTTTAATGCCCATCACACCGATTGGCTTGGCTCTAGTGTCAGTGACTCTGCTGGCGTTAAGGCCCTCAACTTTTGCCTTTCTCAATCTCTAACTCAAATAGTCAACTTTCCAACTCGTTTTCCAGACAACCCTAATCATTTACCTTCTCTACTCGACTTATGTCTTGTTTTGGATCCTAGTCAGTGCTCAATTTCTCCACATTCACCCTTAGGTACTTCTGATCACGGTTTGATCTCTCTAAAACTATTATCAAACTCTTCTACGTCATCAGAATCCCCCTATCATCGTACCACATACAACTACCTTAAAGCTGACTGGGACTCTTTCCGTGATTTTCTTCGTGATGGCCCTTGGGTAGAAATCTTTCGTCTTCCTGCTGACAAATGTGCTTCTTACATAACTTTGTGGATTCAGGCTGGCATGGAATCTTTTATTTCCTCTCGACGATTCCAGGTCAAGCCTCACTCTTCTCCTTGGTTTTCCTCACATTGCGCTGCAGCAATTTCTAATCGAAACCGTTACTTCTATATCTATCAGCAAAACAATTCTCAAGAAAACAGACATCTGTTCACTATCGCCAGAAACCATTGTAAAAAGGTTTTGTCTGACGCCAAAGCTCGCTATTCCCAGGTCATTAAATCTCGTATCTCATCACAAAAATTAGGCTCTCGAGACTTCTGGAGAATCTTTAAAAGTATCAATAATAAGGGCAAATCTGTTATTCCTTCTCTCTTGTATGGTTCAGACTTTGTCACCCCACCTAAAGACAAAGCTGAATTGTTTGCTAAGAACTTTTCATCAATATCATCTCTTGGTTCCACTAGTTGCGTTTTACCTGACATAGCCATCAAACAGGTTGATCCCTTGCTTGACATTCGCATTACTTCAGCTTCTGTATCTAAAGTAATTTCCTGCTTAGACTCTTCAACAGCTTGTGGTCCTGACAACATTCCTGTTGTAGTCTTGCAGAGGTGTTCTCCGGAGCTTTCATCCATACTTTCTAAACTATTTAACAAGTGCTTATCAGAGTCTTGTTTTCCATCATGCTGGAAAGCAGCATCTGTTATCCCTATTTTCAAAAATTCCGGAGAGCGATCTGATTCATCTAACTACCGTCCCATTAGTCTTCTTCCTGTCATAAGCAAGGTTTTTGAATCTTTAATCAACAAACACTTAATCTCTCATCTTGAATCAAATAACTTACTTTCTGATCATCAATATGGATTTCGGTCTTCTCGTTCTACAGCTGATGTGCTAACAGTAATAACCGATAGGTTTTACCGTGCATTAGATAGAGGTGGAGAGGTTAAGGCTATCGCACTTGACATTTCTAAAGCTTTTGATAAAGTTTGGCATGCTGGTCTTCTCCATAAGCTTTCTTCTTATGGTGTAGCTGGTAACGTCTTTAAGATTATTGAGTCCTTTCTTTCCAATCGTAGTATAAAAGTTGTCCTCGATGGACAACACTCTTCTTCACATCCTGTAACTTCAGGGGTTCCTCAAGGTTCAATCCTTGGCCCTATACTCTTTTTAATTTACATTAACGATCTTCCAGATATTCTCACATCTAAGGTGGCATTATTCGCTGACGACACTACCATTTACTCTTGTCATGATAAGAAGCCTACACTCTCTGATTGCTTGGAGGGGGTATCTGAGCTTGAAAAGGACCTCACTTCTGCTACAGCATGGGGCTCACAGTGGCTGGTGAACTTTAATTCAGATAAAACTCAATTTTATTCGGCCAATCGTTATCGTAATAATTTAGATCTTCCTATATTTATGAATGGTAATGTACTAGATGAGTCATCTACCATTCATCTTCTAGGATTAACTCTTACTTCTGATCTTTCTTTTAAACCGTATATCAAATCCATTGCAAAATTAGCATCTGCTAAGGTTGCATCTCTTTATCGAGCTCGACACTTTCTTACTCCAGATTCTATTCTCTATCTCTATAAATCTCAAATCTGTCCCTGTATGGAATACTGTTGCCACATCTGGGGCGGATCTTCTAATGATGCTCTTTCTCTTTTAGACAAGGTGCAAAAACGAATTGTAAACATAGTTGGACCTGCTCTGGCAGCCAATCTCCAACCTTTGTCACATCGTCGTAATGTTGCTTCTCTTTCTCTTTTCTACAAATACTATAATGGGCACTGCTCTAAAGAGCTAGCGTCCCTTGTGCCATCTACTAAAATTCATTCTCGTGTTACTCGCCATTCAATTAAGTCTCATCCTTTTTCTGTGACTGTTCCTAAGTGCTTCAAAAACTCTTATTCTTCTAGTTTTTTTCCTCGAACATCAGTTCTTTAGAATTCGCTTCCTTCATCTTGGTTTCCTGATTCATATAATTTGCAATCTTTTAAGTCATCAGTCAATCGTTATCTTGCTCTACAGATTTAGTCTTTTCTCTTCCAGTAACTTCCAACTCTTATAGTGGTTGCTTGCAGCCTTGTTGGAAGTAAAGATGTTAAAAAAAAAAAAAAAAAAAAAAAAAAAAAATTAAGCCGCTCGGCTGGCAAGGTTGACAAATCTTGCTATTCATGTTTGCCTAGTCAGATCACTTTGAAAACATAAAAGCAACATAATATAAACATATATAACAACTATAAGCATAATATATTTATTTAATTTTATTCAAAATATATAAATACCTATATAACAATTATATACAAATTAGATAAAACTCACTTTAAAGTAAAAATTTCTCAAAAAACAAGGGGTTGCACCCTGCATCACCAAATTCGCTGAAATTTGGCACAAATGTTTAAAGATATAAGTTAGGAAAGACTGTAAAATTTTTTCAAAAAATTCTCAACCCTTTAAGATTTACAGCAACTTGAAGTTAGTTATTTTTTGACTGAAAAAAGAGGGGGAACCCGGAAATATGTTAAACTTGTAGTAATGTTACGAAGCTAAAATTTGGTACCAAAGGAGTTTAAAACCTGCTGAATCTGAAAATCATAAACTTATATTTCTTAAAACAATAAAATATAGTTTTTTTTTTAAATCCACAAAACGCACTTGTTAATAACAATAAAAAAAGCCATTGACAACTATAGTTCTAAAAAAAATCTGACTGATAAAAAAAAGTTTTGTTTTTCGTTATTTTAAATATTAAACACATATCTACTTAGCGAACCAATTTTTATTTGGCCTTACGTTTTATCAAGGAGTTATTGATGTTTTAGTTTTTCAATTTTTCTAAAGGTATTTTGCAAAGAAAAAAATTTGCAAATATATTTTGAATACAAATACAAATATTTTTGTTTTGTAATAGCTTTGTAAAAAATTTACAAAGTTATTACAAAACATAGTTAAACATTTTATAAATTTGTTTCTTTTTACTTTCATTACATAATAATAATGTTATTTTCATTACATAATATCATGTCATTAAATTTAACAATATTATGTAACTTTTGTTGTTAATTGTTTTGTTGTAATAAAACATTTATTATCATCAATAAAAAAAAGTAATAAAATGATATAATAATGTCTAATTAACATTACCATGTTAAATTACATAACTAAATAAAATTATATTTAGTTATCTTTTACTTTTACACAACTTTTTGTAAGTAGTTAATGGAGAATTGAAAATAATTAGTAGATAGTTAGGCATTTAAAATATGTCTATTAAACTAATAGGTACTTGTTCAAGCAATATGTTCTTTATAAATACATATTGATATGATATTGTTTGTGTTCAAGTGTACTTTTCTTGTTAGGGACATTAAGATTATTTAAGATTTCTTGTGTTAAGTGTTTAGACAGAGATTTCTCATATTTTTATATGGATAACAAAATTAATTGCTGCTTTGTAAATAATTATGGAGCTTGTTATAAACAATCATATACTCAAGAAAGAAATCTGATTGAAGATATTGACAGCAATGATCGTAAGCTACTTGAAAAACGAACAAATCTGAAACAAGAACAAATTACTAACATATGCACACACCATCATGATATGTTAGTTGTATGAAATGAGGGTAATCAGAAAAGTTGCTGTAATTCATTTCTGATTCACCAAAAGGTGTATAGAGGTAAAAATTTATATATTTATATTTCATTAGGTAATATCATTATTAATAAGTCGTATAAGTTTTTTTGGTAATAAGATTTGTTCAATGTTTCATAGTTATTAATATAACAAATTGTATAGTAATATAATTACATAATATATATAACTAATGTTATTTAAGTAATGTAATTACTTTCTTTTTAAGCATCTCTACATGTGATTACAATGCATACTGTGTTAGAAGCAGAAACCATAGGTTTAAATCTTATACCTGGAAAAAAACTGTGTCAACCTGTCGAAGTAAAGTTATGACATGTTTATCAAAAAGTATAAGTGAAAATAAAAATGATGAAGATTTTGATATTGTTAATGAAAGATCCATTCAAAATAAAAAAGAAAGTGTAGATACACACTTTGCATCTGTCGGAGTATCTCCAATTAATGTCAAAGGATTGCACAAGTCAGGTAAAATCAGAGAAGGTAAACGAAAATTGACAGCATTAACAACCTCCATTAAAAAAAAAGGTAGCCATTTCCCTTAATATATCAGAAGAAAGTTTTGAAGAACAGTCAAGTTTTAATAATGAGTATATAGAAAAAGCAAACTTGTTTTATAACATGATGGTATTGTTAACTAACAAAACTGTAGAGTCTACATCAACATCAAAAAAAGTACAACTTGCGACACTTGCTCCAACGGACTAGTCAATAAAAAAGGTATCTGAAACATTGCATGTAACAAGCTATATAGCTCGAACTGCACGTAAGTTAACATTAGAAAAAGGTATTTTAACCATGCCTAATCCTAAATTAAGAAAAGCTCTTCTTGATGTAACAGTTCAACTGGTCAAGACCTTTTACAAAGATGATGAACATAGCCGTATAATGCCTGGTAAAAAGGACTATGTAAACATAAAGAAAAATGTCCACATGCAAAAACGTTTGCTCTCATGTAATTTAAAGGAATTGTTTGTTGCCTTTAAAACCAAGAACCCAGAAATAAAAATAGGATTTTCAAGGTTTTGCACCTTGCGACCTAAATGGTGTATTACTGTTGGTGCCTCAGGAACACATTCTGTATGCGTCTGTGCTGTTCATCAGAATTTGAAACTGCTTTTACATCCTGTTGGTGTGACATACAAAGAATTGTTACCTTATATTGTCTGTGATATAACTAATAAAGACTGTATGATGAAGAAATGTGAAAAATGCTCAGTAACTATGAATGCGTTGAAAAACTTTATGATATACTTGGAGAACTTGAAGATGATGAGATTGAATTTGATCAATGGACAACAACAGATAGGTCAAACTTGACACATAATAAAGAGCCAGTGTTTGAATACATTGAACTAGTATGTAGAAAACTGGAAAAACTTGCACCACATTCGTATTTAGCAAAGAGTCAAGCATTATACCTGAGATCAAGAAAGGAAGATATGAATGAGGTAACAGCATTATTTCTGGGTGATTTTTCAGAAAACTATAAATTTGTAGTTCAGGATGAAGTGCAAAGCTTTTATTGGACAAATTTACAATGTACACTTCATCCAGTGATTATTTATTTCAAAAAAGAAGGCATTCTCAAGCACAAATCCTATTGTATTAAGGATGATATCATCCATGATGTGAACATGGTTTATAAAATTATTGAGGTTGTTTGCAATGATATAAAAACAAATTTGCCTCAAATAAAAAATATTGAATACTTTTCAGATGGGTGTGCAGGTCAATATAAGAATTGCAAAAATTTGTTAAATCTTTGTTTCCATTGTGAAGATTTTGGTTTTACTGCTAAATGGAACTTTTTTGCAACTAGTCACAGTAAGCAACCTTGTGATGGGATAGGTGGTACAGTCAAACATCTGGCAACACTAGTTTGCAAATATGGATATGGATAATCATATTTTATCTTCACAAACAATGTACAAATATTGAAATGAAAACATTGAAGGCATAAATTTCATATATATTTCATCAAAAGATTTAACTTTGGTGAGAACCGCTCTTAAAGAACGATTATATACTGCTAATACAATACCTGGACAAGTAGTTACCATCAGTTTGTACCACTTGGCCATCAAAAGGTAAATTTTTTTTTTTAATTATACTTTTTACCATATTTTAAAATACAAGCATAACTTTTATTGATTAACTCAAATAGATATTAGATTTTTGCAGAATCATTATCAAAAATATTTGTATTTTATTTTATTTCCTTTGCGAATGCTATCTATGCATTTAATAAAACATGTTTGATAAGTAAAGCGGAATATTTGCATATGTTACTATTTTGTTTAGGTAGGCACTAAGCTATGCAGTGTTGATGAAGAGTTTGCTTTAATTCATGACTTTGGAAATATCCAGATAACAACTGTAAACCTAGTACCAGGTGATTATGCCTGTGTTTCCTATGAGCAAAAGTGGTGAATAAGAGTCATTGAAGATATTAATTTAGAAGAAAAAGATGTGCTTATAAAATTTATGTGTCTTAATGGTCCTGCACGGTTGTTTAAATGGCCACCAAAGGAAAGCCGATGCTGGATTCCTGATGTCCACATTATTTGCAAAATTGAGGTACCAATAACAAAAACAGGACTTTGCTACTATTTAGCCAAAGAGGACTTAAAAAAAATTATTTTCCTAAGGAAGTAGAGATTTTTATATTTATGAGTCTATTATGTCTTATCCATTCTTTTTTTAAATATTATGTTTTGTGAACCAACTTGTAAATAATGTGAATGTAAAGCATATATAAAATCACTAAAGTTTAGTATTTTTAAATAAAAATTTATATACGTTTAAATTTAGTAAATATCATTTGAAAATGAAAAAGATAATAAAGTCACTAAATTTTTAGTTTCTAATTTGATTGATTGATAAAAGGTGGGGTTATATTAAGTGTCTAATTTGAAAAATATTAAAAAATTTTGTGTCTATATCAAACATCAATAATTCCTCAAGTAAATATAAGGCTAAAACAAAATTGGTTCGAAAAGTAGGTGTTGATATTATTTTTAAGAAAATCGAAATTAATTTTTTTTTTATATCAGTCAGATTTTTTTTATAGCTATAATTGTCAATGCCCTTTTTTCTCGGCGTTATAAAGTGTATTTTATGGATCTTAAAATAAGCTACATTCCCTTGTTTTGACATATAAAAAACTATATTTTTCGGATTTAACAGGTTTTAAACTCTTGGTACAAAGTATCAGAATTGTGGCATCACTACAAGCACCATATTAAGGTGAAAGTAAACGGAATGATTTTCGGCACTTTCTCCTTTCCCCCTCCCCCCCCCCCCCTCAGTTTTTAGTCAAAATCAAGGAAACTTCGAGTTGCTGTAAATTATAAACGGTAAGGAATTTTATGAAAAAAAATTAATATCTTTCCTAACATATGTCTATAAACATTTGTGCCAAGTTTCTAAGATTTTGGTGATATAGGGTGATATAGATTTGTGTTTTTTGAGAAATTTTTACCCTTTACACTAACATAAAAACACATTTGTTTTAAAACGAAAAATTTAAAAAGATTAAATTACATAAAAAGTTTTCAAAACCACTTTTTTTAAGGGCATCTTCAAATATCTGTTTGGAGGAATTGAATACATTTTCGTTAGAGGAGTTTTGGTTAAGCCTGTTATTAACTGAAATCGGGATTTGTTTTAGAATTTGGGGTGGATGATTTGAGTTAATATTAATATACAATAATTCATCGTTTGGTTTTTTGAAAGGCTTATATGTATTTTACGAGAGGTAATATATATATATATATATATATATATATATATATATATATATATATATATATATATATATATATATATATATATATATATATATATATATATATATATATATATATATATATATTTATATATGTATATATATATATATATATATATATATATATATATATATATATATATATATATATATATATATATATATATATATTTAAACAATTTAAAATGTATTGTACAAAAAGAGTGCTCAATGTTCTTAAAAGAACAGAGCAATTACAAATTAGTAGAAAATCACTTAGCAAAATTTTTTCTCGTTTAACACTGTGTTTCATCAATAAAAACTTATCAGAAATCAATGATCAAATTAATAAAACTTCAATTTATACCAAAAACTAAATTACAGGAAGTCACATGTCTTAACTACTGCAATTTTCACACATTTGTGTAGTTTGCTGACACTATTGTAAAAAGAATTCTTTAGAAATGATTACTCAAGCTTTTTTTTTTTTTTATTTTATTTTATTTCACCTCCTCAAGGCCGAGAACGCCACTACAGACAAGGAGGCTACTTATTTTGTGGCTATAACCCTCTCTCAACTCTATAACTCCGAAACACGAACCTTGACGAACAAGGCCGCTGCGCGGAGAAACGAGTTGAGCGCGGTACTACCAGGGACGTGGTGGTGATCGAACTCGGAACCACTCGTTTATGAAGCGAGCGCTCTACCACTACACCACTACCGCATAAAATTAAACAAAGTTTGCAATTGCTAATTAAATTTTTATTTAATTAAAGTTTATATATAAATTTACACTTGATACTTTAGTATCTATTAAATTTACAGATAGAGTTTATAATGCTTTATTTAATATCGAAGAAAGGAAGGAGATTTAAGTTTAAAAAATCTCATAAGTTGAATAGACTTAAATAATATATATTTTTCAAAGGGGAATTAATGTAACTATTATTTGAGCTCACTTGTTTTTATAGTTTTTTAAGAGAAACTTATTTTCGTGCCTGCCTTTAGAAATCAATTCCGATTTTTTGTTTAATAAATATTCTTGGTTTGTATGTGTAATTATTTCAAATTTTTCTTGTAGACATAATATGCATTTTTTGGAAATATTGTTATATGCAGGCACTGTTTTAAGGATGGACCAATTCAGTGTAAAATCATCAATATTTTTATCTTTTAAATCCCATATATATTTTGACAGCATGGTATCTTTTGAATACTTTTTATTTTTAAAAGTTTGCTTATGATTGGCAAAACGTTTTTTCCATTCACCTTCTGTTATGCCAATATATTGTTTATCAGGTACATTCTTAGAGGAGACAACATATTTATATACCACATTTTTTGATAAGCAACTTCCACTCATTGGACAATTGTTTTTTTGTTTACAATTACAATTTTCTGTAGTTTTTTCATTTTGAATTTCTTTTTTGTTCAACAAAGCATTGTTGTGACCTTTTAAATTCTTTCCATATTTTTTGTGCAACTGTAGCTAACTTTATTAGTATTTCGATTAAAAATTTTATGTAATTTATTAGAGGGCGGGAAATGCTTATCGATCAATTTTAAAAACACCTTTCCTATGTTTGTGGAAACATTTTTGCTATATGGGGGGTTGAACTAAATTACATTTCTAGTTCTATTTCGCTTTTTTGTATTCTTTTTTTCAGGGTCAAATTTGAATTCAAAGTTTTCAAAACCACTTTTTTTAAGGGCATCTTCAAATATCTGTTTGGAGGAATTAAATACATTTTTTTATTAGAGGAGTTTTGGTTAAGCCTGTTATTAATTGAAATTGGGATTTGTTTTAGAATTTGGGGTGGATGATTTGAGTTAATATTAATATACAATAATTCATCGTTTGGTTTTTTGAAAGGCTTATATGTATTTTTCGAGAGGTTAAATGTGACATGGTAATGTTTCAAGAGCAATATTGAAAAATGTACACAGTCTTGCATATGTAATTCCGATAGAGCTGCTCCCTTTAATCGATACATTAAGGAAGATTGACAGAGTTGTGACTGGTTTTATATATATATATATATATATATATATATATATATATATATATATATATATATATATATATATATATATATATTCTATTTAATAATACTGAACTTAATAGTAGTAGTGCGTCTTTGACACGGTACCTTTGGCAGCCATTGCAAGCGAAGTAATGGCGAGAAAGAGTTGCAGCAGCTTTGTTTTATAAGAAAACGTGAACGAACATGTATCCAAATATCTAACAGACGTAAAATTTAAATTAAGTAATGTTAAAACAAATGTTAAACATTTATCAAGTTTTACAGTTTGATTTTCACTTGAAAATTGAATTGCGTCAAGCTCTCCTTAGTTTTGATCTATAACATTTTTTCCCTTAAAAAAATCATTATATTGTTTTAAAATAATGGCTTCAGAATGTGCCAGTGTAGCTGAGTGGATAAGGCGCCGACCTTCTGAACACGTAAGCCGAGGTTCGATTCCTATCACTGGCTACTTTTTTTCTTTTTTTTTCCGATTATTTTAAAATACAAAATATTTTTGAAGTTTTGTAGAGATTATATATAAAAATATGTAAAGATATTATATGCTTTTACAAACGAAAATATTTTAAGAAAGCCAAAATTTCATAAAACATCAACAAACAAAAAAACACATAAACGGGGGAAAAAATTTGTTGTGTATGTATGATGATTGAGACACTTTTGTAATTAATGTGCTCAGGTAATTAGTCTTAATAAGCTGCGGATGGTCTGGAAAAAAATTCTCTGAAACTAAATAAAGAAAAAACTTAATAAGAAAATCCTGCTACTCAAGAAGGTGCTGCTGTGGAGGCAAAAAAACAACAACAAAAAAGCCTGTAGCTAGATAAAACTTTAAATAGGCACTTCAGTCACGTGACTTTTCCGTATGATAAGTTTAGAATATAAACTTTAGCGAAAAAAACCAGTCACAACTCTGTCAATCTTCCTTAATGTATCGATTAAAGGGAGCAGCTTTATCGGAATTACATATGCAAGACTGTGTACATTTTTCAATATTGCTCTTGAAACATTACCATCTTATGTACCTCCATGATAACCTTTCCGTATAACACCAAGGCTATTAACTTTCTTTTTAAAACCTGCCCAGAGCGGTATAATATAATTACAAATGTGATTTACCAAACCCATGAGATGATGAATTTCTGGTAAAGGTATTACGCTTATGAATAGCTTCTCAGGATCATCTTCCTTTATAAGACAAGGCTTCACAACATTCTAAGTGAAAATAAATGAAACTCAATATTAAGTTTTGCATAAAAACTCTTCATTAGATTACAAATATATAAAAAAAAACTAATAACCTTAAAATTCATCATTTGTTTTTTAGGAAAGCCTGCATCAGCATACTTACAGAAACAGTTATCTAGGTCTCCAAAACTTCTGAGATTACGACATTTCAGAACAGCTTCCCCGTCACACCAGGAACAACTGCATTTTCCACCGTGAGTCTATCAATATTTTTTAGTTTTAAAAATATTTAGAATTAAAAAAAAAATAGTTCATTTAAAGAATAAATTGTAGTTATTTAAGTAATTTAAATACCAAAATTCCCAAAAAAATGTTGATGAGTTTGAGGTCTGATGCAAGAGAATATTTACCAGTATGAAGTTTTAAGTTTTTCAATTAATACTGTGAGATTGCTATGTGTTTCTCGCATATCTTCATAGTATGCTAATACAAGAGCAGAATTTATTCCAGAGTAAGTTCCCCTATCATTCCCATAAATGACTCTGTGTTGGTTTGGGTTGAACAAATTTGCAATAACTTTCATTGAACCTCCATCTTAAATGTTTTTATTTACTCATTACTCTTAAAATTTATAGTTTTCATTATTCATCTATTGTATTAAAAATCAAATGCTCAA